ACGCACACCATACTTAAAGATAAAAAATATTTTACTTGTTTAATAATAAGAGATTGAAGTGTTAATACCCTAATGGGTAATATTAAATTAATCGATGGTTCGGGAAGAGTAATTATAATATAACCCAAAGGAACAAAAATTATTATAGATAACGCATTATATTCATCTAAGTCTAAAAAAAAATTTATTAAGCTTTAAAGGAATCCGCAAAAATGGGTATCATATTGACACTACAAATAAGAAAGATATTGAATATCTATATATTACAAATTTTAAATCTGGAAAGAAATGTGTCCTAGAAAAATTATCCACGTTATCTTCTAGTTTGTACTACACAACTATTAGTACAGTTGAAATAAATGCAATGGTCAATAAAAAGTTTACCAATCAAGATACATTTATCATTTGGCATAACCAGTTAGGCCATCCTGGTTCAACTATGATGTGAAGAATTATTAAAAATTCACATGGACATTCATTGAAGAACCAGAAGATTCTTCAATTTAAGGATTTTTCATGTACTTCTTGTTCTCAAGGAAGATTAATTAAAAGACCTTCAATTACAAAAGTGGGAATTGAATCTCCTGCTTTTCTTGAACGTATGTAAAGGGATATATGTGAGCCTATCCATCCATCATGTGAACTATTCAGATATTTTATAGTTTTAATAGATGTATCTACAAGATGGTCACATGTGTGTTTGTTATCAACACGTAATTTAGCATTTGCTAGATTACTTGCTCAGATAATTCGATTAAGAGCATAGTTTTCAGATTATGCAATTAAAACAATTTATCTTGATAATGCGAGTGAATTTTCATTACAAATTTTTGATGAATATTGTATATTAACTGGAATAACAGTTGAAAAATTTGTTACTTATGTCCACACTCAAAATGGTTTAGCAGAATTATTCATTAAACGCCTCCAATTAATAGCCAGACCAATGCTCTTAAGAACAAAACTTCCTATTTCTACATGGGGACATGCGATTTTACATGCAGCAATACTTGTGCGCATCAGGCCAACAAGTTATCATAAATATTTCCCATTACAATTGGCTTTTGGTCAGGAGCCAAATATTTTTCATCTTAAAATTTTTGAATCTGCGGTGTTTGTTCCTCTTGCTCCACTACAATGCACAAAGATGGGACCTCAAAGAAGGTTAGGAATATATGTTAGTTTTGAATCTCCTTCTATAATCAAGTATCTAGAACTATTAACTAGAGATTTACTCACGGCACATTTTGATGATTGCCATTTTGATGAAACACTTTTCCTAACATTAGGGGGAGAAAATAAGCAGCTGGAGAAAGAAATTATATGGAATGAATTATCTTTATCTCATCTAGATCCTCGTATAAAGCAATATAAACTTGAAGTTAAAAGAATAATTCATTTGCAAAATCTTGCAAATCAATTGCCAGATGCATCTACTGACCTCAAAAGAATTACCAAATCTCATATTCTAGCTGAAAATATTCCTATTAAAATTGATGTCCCAGTAGGACAATTAGAAAGCACAAATGAATCTGAGCCACGTTTGAAACGTGGTAGACTAATTGGTTTCAAAGATAAAATTTCTAGAAAGAAGAAAGGAACACAAAATAAAGATGGCATTATAGAGGAGGTTGGTACTCTAAAAGAGTACGGAGACATGACTAATCAAAATACCCCAAAAGAGGTCTAGGTACCTGAAGATAATGAAGAAATCTCAATAAGTTGTGTCACCATAGGAAAAAGATGGAACCGAAAAAATATAGTCATCGACGACATATTTTCATATAATGTTGCAGTGAAAATAATGAATCAAAATGAGGATCTAGAACTAAAATTGGTTAAAGAATGTAGACATAAAAATGATTAGCCAAAATGAAAAGATACAATTCAAGTAGAATTAAATTCACTTTCAAAATGTGAAGTTTTTGGACCTATAGTCCGAATATCTAATGGTGTAAAGCTAGTTGGATATAGATGAGTATTTGTGCGAAAACAAAATGAAAAAAATGAAGTCGTTAGATATAAAGCATGACTAGTAGCACAAGAATTTTCACAAAAACCTGGTATTAATTATGAAGAGACATATTCTCCTGTGGTGGATGCAATCACGTTAAGATATCTGATTAGTCTGGTAGTACACAGAAAACTTAATATGCACCTAATGGATGTTGTTATAGCATATCTATATGGCTCTTTAGATACAAAAATTTACATGAAAATCCTTGAAGGATTCAAATTGTCAGAAGCATGTAAAGATTCTCGAGAAAAATATGCAATTCATTTGCATAAATCTTTATATGGATTGAAACAATCTGGAAGGATGTGGTATAATCATCTTAGTGAATATTTATTGAATGAAGGTTATAAAAATGATCCAATCTCTCTATTTATTTTTATAAAGAGAAATGGGTTAGATTTTTTTTTTTTATAATTGCTGTCTATGTGGATGACTTAAATATAATTAGAACTCCTGAAGAGCTCAAAAAGTAGTTGATTGTTTAAAGAAAAAATTTAAAATAAAATATTTAGGAAGAATAAAATTTTTCCTCGATTTACAAATCGAGCACTTAGCAAATGAAATTTTTCTTTATCAATCAATTTATATTGAAAAAATATTGAAGCGATTTTACATGGATAAAATGCATCCATTAACTATTCCGATGGTTGTAAGATCTCTTGATGAGAAAAAGATCCTTTTCGCCCTCAAGAGGAAGATGAAGAACTTTTTGGTCCTGAAGTACCATATCTTAATGTCATAGGTGCACTGATGTATCTTGCTAATTCAACAAGACTTAATATTGCATTTCCTGTAAATTTATTAGCAAGATTTAGTTCTTTCCCAACAAAAAGGCATTGGAATGGAGTTAAATACCTATTTCGATATCTACGAGGAACAATTGATATGGGATTATTTTATTCTAATGAATTTGGATCACAACTTATTGGTTATGCAGATGCAGGATTTTGATTAGATCTACATAAAGGTAGATCACAAACTGGATATTTATTTACTTGTGGGGGTATAGCAATATCTTGACATTCAACAAAATAAACTTTAGCTGTTGCCCCATCAAATCATGCTGAACTAATTGCAATTCACAAAACAAGTAGAGAACGTGTTTGGCTAAGGTCAGCGATCCATCATATCCAACAGATGTGTGGTTTATTGTTGGAATAAAAGATTCCAACAATATTATTTAAGGATAACACAGTGTGCATAGCTCAATTAAAAGGAGGATATATCAAAGAAGATAGAACAAGATATATTTCTCCAAAAAAATTTTCACTCATGACCTTTGGAAGAGCGGTGATATAAATGTTCAGCAAATTCGCTTATGTGATAATCTTGCAAATTTATTTACTAAGACACTACCAACTTCGACATTTGAGAAGTTAGTGTATGGAATTGGAATGCACAGACTCAGAGACATAAAGTGATGATGTCATTAAGGGAAATGGAGTGATACTATTACCAGGGGGAGATTATAAGGTGTAAATATTATGTTGTACTATTTTTCCCTTTTTAAGGTTTTGTTCCACTAGATTTTTCTAGAAAAGTTTTTAATGAGACAACATTAGTGAATATTTAAAATATTATGTACTTTTCTTCTTTCATTAAGTTTTTATCCCATTGAATTTTTTCTAGTAAGGTTTTAAGGAGGCGCAATGTTTGTTATGGATATCCAAGGGGGAGTATTATAATTATTTTGTCATGGATGTCCATAACTCATAACCCTTAGGAATCCTTTATTCTTAATGTCCTCATGAATGACATGGAAGGAGTTTCTATTCTTAATAGCTTATAACCTTCAAATGTTACATAATACACCATTATAGGCCTCATTATATCTTTGTAACATTAGAGTAGGACTTAAATGGTTGGAGGCCTATAAATAGAGACCATGTCCAAAGCATATGTACACTAAGGAATAAGAATTCTCCTCCATTGTTTTCTCTTCATTTTTGTTGCATTATCTTGTCCATCTCTACTTTTCATATTAACTATATTTTACAACATCTTATGATTTATAAATGATAGGGACTAGAGTTTTTCGGCACATTCAAATTAAAATTATTAGAAGGGAAGAAGTTTCACAATCTTTGAACATCCAAATTTTATTTAATTTATTGCTTTTGTACTCCTATGAAAATAGTTCAAGATAAAAACTGGACTTTAACGTTTAATTCAATATATTCAATAAAATTGTTTATCGAATTGCACCATTTATACAGTTTGACAATTGAGACCCGATTTCATATAATCTACTGAAAATGAGTCTGATTTATATATATGGTGACTGAGATTGAGCAGCTTTCAAACTGAAGGAGAAAATATTTTTTAAAAAATAAATTTTAATAGTGAGAAAGAAACCTTCAGAAAAAATGGACTGTGTCGAAACTTTCACTCGAGGGCAGTGAAAAAGTATTCACATATACATGCTTTTTATATTTATCTTTCGATTTCTTTATTATTCATCTTTTTTGGATAAAAAAATTGCAACATGTTCAATCATTTATGAGCTAGAAAGAAATTAGGATGGAGACATTATAAAATACTCCCTTCGACTTTTATTATAGCATATTTTTAACAGTTTTATGTATTTTAAAAAATTAATTTTTTTGATATCGTAAAAAGGTGAAATATATTTTTATTTTTATCCTTAATTTTAACTAATAATATAATTATGTTAAATATTTTGATGCTAATTAAAAATAAATAACATTTAAAAAATAATTTAATTATATTAAATATTTTTATGTTAATTAAAAAGAAATAAAATTAAAAAGTGATTTAATTATTATAAAATATTTTATATTTTAAATTAAAAATTATTTTTAAAAAGTGTTTTATAAATAAGAGGAAGTACACGATCTGCAGCATAAAATAGATGACAATACATGGATGTTAATTATTTGTGAAATGAATTCTTATAATATGATAAAGTAATTTTGGAATAAAATAGGAGAGAAGTTGGTATAATCCAATTTTGAAAAGTGGTGGGTGAGAATGAGGGGCGGGGAGCTGTCAAAGGCACAGTGGGTTTGGATTTGTGGCTGTGAAGTTACTTGGAGTTGAACGCGATTGACACACACTCCTTTATTAACACTCCCATTCACCTGTGTATAAAGTATGGTTTCTTCTCGTTGCCCCAACACTCATCTGTCTCCAAGGTCCCCCACCTCCAAATCTCTCCAAAATAACCATCGAATCTCTATCACACCCACATGGATTTGGTGATTCTCTCTCCCCTTCTCTTTTCTCCGTCCTGCTTCTTCTTCTCACTTCCTTCGCTTCTCTTGTATTTCATACTTCCAGCAATGAAACTGCCTCCGCCTTTCAATTATGAGAACGCTTTGTGACGCTTGCGAGAGCGCCGCCGCCATCGTTTTCTGCGCCGCTGATGAGGCTGCCCTCTGCCGTGCCTGTGACCACAAGGTAGCTTCTTTTACCTGTTGAATCGCTTAACAAAGTTGACTGCTGGTATTTTAATTTAAGAACACTGGACTAGAAAAGCTCTTTCCTCCTTTCTATTTCTCTCTCCGCGTATTTCCAATGCTAACTCAAAGGTCATGTTATCCGGTAACGTTGATCCTGGTCAACGATTTTTGAATCAACGGCTTGGAGTTTAATCTATTTGAGTGACAGGTTCATATGTGTAATAAGCTGGCCGGCCGGCATGTAAGGGTTGGTCTGGCGAGTCCTAGCGATGTCCCTCGCTGTGACATTTGTGAAAATGCACCTGGTAGACAGTTTCCTTTCTCAATCTTTATCCTAATTTATTCTACCTCAAGCTTATGTGATGCCTTTTGAACTTGGATGCAGCGTTCTTCTACTGCGAGACAGATGGAAGTTCACTTTGCTTGCAGTGTGACATGATGGTTCATGTTGGGGGTAAAAGAACGCATGGAAGATATCTTCTTTTTAGGCAGAGAGTTGAGGTATGCCTCTCCTTCCACCTTAAGCTGTTCTTAATTATTTCTGATCTTGCTGCCATATTTTGTGTTATCTATGTGTGCCTGTTTGCTCCATAGTTTCCGGGAGATAAAACTGGTCTTCCAGAAAACTCAGTTTCACTGCCTCTGGAACCTGGTGGGGCTAAAAGAGGACAAAATCCTCTGCCTAAAATAAATGTGGGAGAGGGACAACAAAATCATAGGTTAGCTCTGGTTGCAGCACCTGAACATGATGCTGACGGTCATGCCATGATGGGAACTAACATGATTGATTTGAACATGAAGCCTCAGAAAATACATGAACAAGCTGCCAATAATCAGGTTAGATTGAATAAGAAGTCAATTTGCTCTGACTAGTTAGAAATCTCTGTCCTAGTTCATACATGCTTAAGATGAATGATTACTTACTTTAAGTTCTAAGAGGCTTGAAGGAAAATAAAATCATTATTCAATTCGCCAAATGTTGTCATGATAACTAAGGTCGTCATGATTCATACGAAAATTAGACAAACTGGAGTTTGGGAATATATTTTAAAAGAGGAGGCATTACAACCATGTCATGATTCAATCCGCCAAATGTTTGATTCTTGCTATCAAGCTCCACTACCGTGCTTAATTAGTCACGTTTTGTCAAGTCTGTTTCCCAGCTTGCCTTGGAGGATCATCTTCAGGTCCCTGCATGTCATATCAGTGACATATTGTGAAAAGCAATGATTATTTCCTTTCCCTGAAGCAACTGACAGAAGTTAACCTTACAAGGTCATTATTATTATGTCCTAGTTATTGTGGGGCTGAGGAATCCCATCAGAATTCATTTTGAAAGCGGTTTTGCACCAGTCAAAAAGAAACTTGGTAAACTTCTAAGTATTGCATCCTTCCAAAACAGCGACTGTAAATTCTTTCGAAACATTAAAAAAAAAAATTCAAATATTTGGTCTAGAGTTACAACAGGTCTATTTCGTTAGCAAGTTGAAACTTGAGCTAGAAGCACCAGCATATTTGTGTGTGATGGTTTTCTTCTTGGCAGCCATAAATTATGCAACTAGTGAGTTCAATTTTTGCAAGCATCTTACGCCATCAAGCCCTGGGGGAGCAAAAGATAGTGACATATTTCTCACGTTGGCAAGTTACATTGTTGGGAAAGTGTAAACATCCTCTTTCGGCAAATGAGGAGTTCAACAGCCAACCCTTAAGGAGCACTGGTATATGTAGAAAGGAGTTCACCTTGGTTATTCAACACCCTGCATGTTTATACTGCACGACTTTTATTTTAATCCTCTGCACTAATTTGTAAGATTGCTTGCGTTCTTGGTTCGAAGGTCTTGTAAGTAAATTGGCTGCCTCTGAAGTAAAACAGTAGAAAAGAGACTTTTTTAAGGGGCATGTTGAACAACATATGATGGTAGAAATTTTAGCTTCCAGATTTTCTACTGCTGTAAATAAAGTGAGCACCTTATTCCCCAAAGATTGAGAATTCGAGATTAGATGTTTTAGGAGTTAAAAGTGACGATGATTTGCAGCTGTGGTTTGTGGCAGCTGTAGATAATAGAGCATCTCGTCTGGCTTTATTAGAACTTTAGAAGACAACCGTTTACTTTCACTGATGAAGACTTTCATGGTTGTAATTTGTAAATACCTTCACTTCCTAATGGAGAGCCGATTCTTTATTTGTCGTTCAGTCATTGTTTCCTTCATTCTTCTTTATTTCTTTACGCATTGAGTAGTCTTTGCAAATGAGACAAGTTACTTGTGTTCCTTGATCGAGTAGTGCTGGAAGAGCTACTGCCACGGATCTTCGTACTTTGACTATTTTTTTTTTGTTTGTTGATAATTGATTCATTAATTATTAATTTTTGTTTATATTTGAGTATAAATGATGGGAATAAATTCTAAAATTAAACAAATTATTTTTTATTTCTATCTTCTAAACAATAGTATGTGTATGGAATTAAATGATATAATCAATTATTTGTATTACTTATACAATTCTATTTTACATCTTCTAAGAACTCTCATTTATTTTAAAATTATCAAGTTATTATTTGCTAAGTATTTAACTTCTATTAATTTGACCCCTCTTTAATTGGAGAAATGAATTTAAGGGGTGGGAAGGGGAGATTTTAATGAGTTAGATTAAAAAAAAAATTAGAGAAATGGGTATCAAAAAATGATTATGAATGTGCGACTTGTAATAAAATTATAAATTTAATTTATATAAATTATAAAAAAAAGTAGGTATGCAACTTAGTAAATTTCTTTTTAAAATTTTAATTTACACAGAATAATAAAGTTTAAATAAGATACCAAATAAATTGAAATTTATAATCCATTTCTCATAAAATATAATTTTTTTATATTTTAATTTAATTTATCACATAAATTGTTGTTTATATTTTTTGTGCCACAAGAGCGCAGATCATCATCTGGTATCAACGTTAAAGAGCTTTTGTATAAAAGGTCTAATATATCTTCAATAGCGAAATTTCAAGTTTTGCCCTTACTATGGATCCCAACTTTGATGTGACATTTTCTTTAAAAATAAAATTTCATCAAGAGAAGGAGAGGAAAAATATGATCAAGTTTTTCCCTCCTCTCCCCCAAACCAAACATTAGTTTCATTTCCTAACTGATAACACTAACTATGATGTGAGTGATTTAGAATAGAGTAACAAATCAATCAGTTAAAAATAGAAAAAAAAATTTTGATTATGTTGAGTAACTTCATGGTACTAGGTATCCTTCGCAAGATAGAATTTGCGTGACCATGATTTAGTTATTCATTCAACGATACAATATCAATCAATTATACGTCATATAGATAGTGTTCCGAGAACCGGACCAATAGGCTTGATTGATTGAATTGAGAACTGGCCTTAAGTTCAGTTTAATTATACAAAGAACCACCATATTTGGGAACTGATTATTTAGAAGTTGCTTAAACGGCCTCAAACTAATCAAAACAGGCAGAACCAATAAAAAAAAAAAAATTGGTCGAATTGGTCCTGTTATTTTTAAATTTTTATTTTTTAAATTTTAATTCATTTTTATAAACAATAATTTATATACATTTGTACTAACTATTGATAAATGAAAAAATGAACACATGCAAGAAATATGCAAAGGAAATATATGTAAGTATATATTTTAAAATTACAAATTATGAAAAAAGCATATATATATATATATATTGAATTAAACTGATGGAATATAGATGGATATCAGTTTTTATTACACATTATTTTGTGTGGAATTTAATAATTCATATATGTTATTAAATATAATTATTTCTTTTTATTTTAAACATGGATTATTTAAAATATATCAAATTATTTATGATTGATCAAACCACAATTCAAATCACATTCTGACCATTAAATTGTGAATTAGTCTTTCAACCGGATCAATGACTGAATTGGTTTTCTTAACATGACGGCTGCATTTTAGGCCTTATTATGCGAGCTAGTTGCCTAGCCTTGCAAAGGTCATTTATTCACCAGAAAGGCAAGGTGATAAAAACTTGGGGGCAAAGAAAATTGGGAGAATTACTTTAAAGGTTCCACACAAGACAACTAATTACTCCTCAGTCCATTAACAATTGGACTCAGGAGAATAACAACCGTTAAGTTCAGCTGTTAATAAACCTGAGAGTAACTAGTTGTCTTGAATTAGACCTTAAAGTAATTCTCCAACAAAAAAAAAAAAAAACTTTTTCCAAGGTTAAGAAAATTACACCTATATAAACAGTTTATATAACACGTACAATTTGTAATGTAACTGTACAATTTTTGTCCTTACCAGTTACCATGATGTTGACGAGTGAATCGTTTTTTTACACGTGACTGTACACACTTTAACACTGCTGCTCCCTGCGAAATCACAACCCTGCTAGACAGTTGCTCGAATGACGAGCGATCGAAGGAACAAAGAATAATTAGCAACACTTAAGGATGCCCACGGGCTCAATCCTCCGAGTGATAACCCGTTAAATCGATACATGCAGCCGAGCAATAATTCGACTGAAGCTGGGAGATATGAAGACATGGGTCTTGTACTGGCTCGCAGCAAGCTACCTTGATCTATACATGACAGTAGCCTGCAATAGAAAATAATTGGTGCTAATCTGTTGCACAAAAAAGGAAGGAAAAAAATACAGAACATTAAAAGACACGTGATTAAAAGGATGCACCGATTTGATTATGACTGGAAGAGAGTTATAGTTGCAATATAACCATTTTTCATCACCTGCTACCATCACCAGAACATAGATTAGCAGTCTCTTCAAATCCACGCACTAAATTAAACTCTAATTGCAAAGGTTAGCTGTATACACTTCAAGAATGAAAAATAACTCACCTCCAATGCAATATTTTGATACCCATACACAAAAGTAGATCCAAATGGATTGCTAGTAGAACCTTGTGTTTGAATGGCAGCTCGCCCACAATCACCAAGAATTTCCTAAAAGATTAAAACACATGCCATCATAGATGAATTCAATCAATTATAAGAGGAAAACGGATATCAAAGCATGTCACATTGTCTTCGCCAAATTATTCAATAGTTGAAAGGCCTAAAAGATTAAAATACATGCCATCATAGATGAATTCAATCAATCATAAGAGGAAAACTGATATCAAAGCATGTCACATTTTCTTCACCAAATTATTCAATAGTTGAAAGGCATAAAAAAAAAAAAAGAACTACCTTAACTTGTTCCCATTTTGTGGAATGTGTTATGACCTTTTGTTTGCTGCCATTTCCATCCAGAAAAGATCCCCCAACTGCTGGAGAGAAAATCAAAATGATCTTATACCTTCCCTTGCAAAAAATCATTACTCGTTTATGCAGTACAAAAGATCAATGTTAAATACTACAAATAGAAGATATCTTACACTCTGAGCCACAGATAACAAAATTGCACTTCATGTATGAATTAAAATCAGCATGACCAGGGTAGTTGGTATGCAACACAAACTTTTTTATTTTGTGACTCTGTAACACAACAGACAGGAGAAAATCCATCACAGAATGGTGAATTATCATTCAATGTACGTAAGTTAAAAGAATGGGATGAGGTGAAACCTGTCCATCAAATAAAATGTCAAGCCCACGAGTAAAATAATTATAGAAGTAATCCCCACAGAGAGTTGTTCGAGGCCGGAGATCAGAGGCAGAATGAATAACCATTTGATCCACCTGCAAGATTAATCTTTCAGTATCCATCCACATAATACTCAAAAGCATTTGATAGTTCTGTATATCACTAATCAATCTGTTCTCATGGTGATACTGGGATTTCACCTCCATAGAATGAAAAGCTAATGCTTAACTTTCAAGTCAATAGTAATAATCCATGGAGAGGGAGAATTTAATATCACGATAACAAGATCAGATTCAATTATATCAAGATAACAAGATCAGATTCAATTTTTTTTTTTCCAAAACTATTAGCCCTGTCTAAAATTACGCCCATGTTACATGTATCATGACAAGATCAGATGAGACAATCCATTACATATTGGTAGGAAATTGTCACAACATACAACTACAGCTGGAATGAAGACCCCTGGAACTAGCCACATGAACTTTGCCATTAATGGTTGCTCAAACATTGGAACTTTTTAACAGGCCAATGTTGAAATACAACAAGACGAAGGAGAAAACAATTACTTCCCCTTTGGACCCAACGCTCATGAAATTGGGTCTTAGGAAGAAAAGTTGTGGGAGTAAGTCCCTGATCCAATTTTCAAAGAGTCTCATGAGTGACATTTTAAGGCCTTACAGTAACAATGAACTGATGCAAACATAATCATAACCAAGAGAATTATTTTCTTGTGGACAATGACTTTGCCAGCTACTTGGAATGCCTAGAAAAATTAGATATGGCAGAGCATGTTAAGTGAGAAGAGACTAATCAAAGAGTGAGCTTCAATTCATGCCCAATGTCTAATTCTCACCTTGAGGACAATTTGAATCTTAACTGGGGGAGTAAAGACAGGATTCCGCCAACACATGCAGCCAAAACATGGAAAGGGTCAAAAGGAAGGAAAGGGGGAGGGATGGTGGAACAAAGGACCTGAAAGTTGATGCAGATAAGTGGAAAAATGAAGGAACAAAAGAAGTGTAATTATTAAGAGGAAGGAAGACTAGTTAAAAAGTAGTTGAAAGGAAAAGCTGAGTAAGGAGTGGCCCTAGAAGAATCCTAGATCTGGTTTTGGTGGGAGAAAGCCATCCTCTTGAAAGTTGGCATTTCTTTTTTTCTTTTTTAGGTTGGAATAGCAAGGTTGGCATTTGTCATTCTTCACTTTCATTTTCTTGTTTTTTTTTTCTTTGGTAGTTGTTGAGCATCTGAGATTTGTGTTTTGTGCTGCTGTGATGCGTATGAAGCCGGATGTAATTAGCAGCAACACATTAGTATGAGTGTTGAGGTTGTAACTTAGAGTAAAAGGTGCATCCATTTGAGTAGTAAGGGTGACTGTTATAGTTTTGTAAAATATTAGTTAGTTTAGTTAGTTTAGATTTAAATGACAGTTATTGGGAATTAGCTGTTGGGGAGTGTGAGTGTGAAGCCTATAAATAATGAGACATTTGATTTGTAAGGCATTCTGAATGAACACATGAGTACTATGCAAGTCCCTATCTAGGTTGCACAGATACAGGTACGAGTATCGGATATGATACAGCATGATACGGTGATACAGTAAATTTTAAAAATTTTAGGATAGGGTACGGGGATATATAAAAAATTTTATATAAATATAAATAATAATGCAACTATTAAAAATGCATAGCAATTCAACCAAATACAAAGTAACCAAAGTGCCATTCTTTTTGTAGCTCATTCATAGAAGATTTACGAGCTGCTGAATTAATACTTCCCCCAAAATTATTAGTTGCAGCCATATCTAATTAAAAAAAAAGAAAATAACATAAACTAAAATAAGACAGGACCAGAACCATTGAGAATCATACTCAAACAAAGTCTAAAATAAACAAAGAGAGCAACAGGTTCTGTGCACATGGAAAGCAAGATATTAAATGAATAATATAAATAATAATCAAACTTCTAAAAAGCAGCAACATAATAAAATAATAAATATGCTTCAGTTTCATGCTATCACAGTAGGCAGAGAAGACGAGTGAGATATTCTAACAAAACTCACTAAAGCAGAGAAGAGAGAAGACGAGACGAGTGAAGGATGAGAAGTCGAGAACCTCGACTAGACCAACGAGCTAAGCAACCACAGAAGACAGAACGAGACGCGACTTGCGAGTTGAGAATGGATGGGTTCACAACAGCACAAACAAGAAAGCACAGACAGGGACGAGAGCGATGAACGAGACCGGGGAGAGATTGCAGGATCTGAAAACATTCAAACTACTGAATGGTTTGCGAATTAGGGATTTAGTCAAATTTTTTACGCAAAACGCAGCGTCCCGTGTAGAAGCCGTGTCTGCCACATCAAAGCCGCGTCCTGCCGTGTCGCCCCAAAAAAAAAAAAAAAAAAACGTGTCGGACACAGACATACTCGCAGGGAGCGAGTGTCCCTGTCAATACATATCGGACATGGATACGCCACCAAAATCAATGTATCCGTGCTTCCTAGGTCCCTATTATTCCTTAATTTCTCTCAATCTCTACTTCTCTCCTACATCTCTACTTCTTCTCTGCCTCATCTCTCCCTTCTCTGACCCTTCTCCAGCCTTTCTGTTCTTCTCTCCTTTCCCTCTCATCTGTCTCATTAATCTTCATCACCCAGAATTATTCTAACAGATCAGTGTCCTGGTCCGACTGTGTCTAGGTGAAAATTGGTGATTATAGCGAGCGATAGTGTATGCTGTAGGCATCTGACCCAGGAGAATATTCTGTTTTTACATCAGTGGTGCAGTGCTTATTGTGTTATTTCAGCAATATATAGTTCAATAGGTGCTCTGACGCTGAATTTGAGGATTCTAAGTTCTAACAATGAAAAAAGATCAGACAGTGACCTTAAAATTTTCAGACATTACTGCAAATTATATCTGTTGATTTCTGCATAAAGTCTACATACAAAGCATTAAGTTCCATTTAAAAGATTACTTGATGGTACCTGCTTCTGATGAATTCCACAGGGGCGACCAAGTTCAGTCCAAACATCCTGTAGATTGCAGAAAGCTATAATTAAATGGAGAAAATAAATAAGGAACTAAAGCATAGCATTAACCTCAGTTCACATAAAAAAAATACTAGATTGACTGCAAGATTGACAGACCAGGAAAAAAAAAACCAAATGGATGGACAGCAAAATAGTTTGATAATGGGAAAGTAAAAGCAGACTTGATTATATGCAACATCAAACTTGCCTGCGGAGATGCACCAAAAGGAATTTGTTGACCACCAACTGTAAAGTACAACTCTTCCCCCAGCTATATTAGATAGAGAAGCAATTAAACCCCGGAACTCCAAGAAACTTAGTAAAATGGAGAAAAAAATTCTCTGAAATCAACAGCTTGGTAAAAAGTAAGCTTCCCAGAGGCATATATGAAAACAAGAAAATATCATCCCCAAGATTCCCAGTATTTGAAGTGTGGACAGACATAGGGCTAAAAGAAGCCAAACCTTAACATGAACCTCTTCCATATAAATGCTGCCAGCAGGTAACGGTGGAGCAGAAGCCTTATCCATTAAGGATCCTACACCAACCTTTTTACCAGAGGAACTATCATATATAGAAACACGGCATGTAACTGGTGTAGTGCCATCTGGAAACTCCAATGGCAATTCCACTTTCATAATAAAAAGGAAACAAAAGAGAACAAATTAGGATATGAAAACCCAATGGTACATTTCAATTTCATGAAAATAAAATAAATACCTCCTCCATCATGGCAGCAGTCAGTATACTGAGTTGGAATAGGAAATGCAAAGGAAAGACCCTAAAAACCAAAATAAGACAAAAAAATTAGAATATAAATATTTATGTATATGAATTACAAATCCCAAATATGTACCGGGTAAAATAGAGTGTAAATGCCTCGATCCTTGTCAAAAATTCCAGGATATGTTGGCCCAAAAAGTGCATAGACAGCAACAAAAGTAGCTAGAGTTGATGGCCCTCTAGAAATTAACATGATGGTCAATAATACACCTATAAATAAAAATATGAGTAAAACTTTAAGTCCACAGACTCACCCAATGAGAGAAGTGGAATAGCGCATTTGAAGCCTCTTCACATCATAGATCTCAATCAGGCGCAGTCTCTAAGGTAGTTATCATACATTAAGTCAATGAACACAACAAAGTCATCTTGTTATGCATGAGCGGTAACAGATAGAAACAACGTGTGAGAACTTGAATTGATCAGTACAACAAGAACCACAAGATAGAGAAATTGAATAATCAGCTCAAAATGAAGAAAAAGACATGGTTGAAAATCCCCTCTACCAACATTTGTAAAATAATACTACAAGCATCCAATCAAAATATCTTCCTGACAGGAATGGAAACGTCAATGTGACAAAACATATGACTATCTTTGTATTTAGGATCCCTAAATGATTTTCTTCATCATCTCCCATCCAATTCAAACATACACATAGGATTAACTCCAATGGTAATATAACCTGTTCTAGACAAACACTGAGAACTAAAATAACCAAGGAGTTATCAAAGAGAATCCTTAAAAATTCAGAACTGATTTGATTTGATTGCGGTCAAGTGTTTTGTTCATGGTATCCCAACATTAAAAACCAAACTATTAGGACGGTCACCATTCCCATCAGACCAGGTGCTATACCAGAAAGAAAGGACAATTACAGTCCACCTCCATAATAAGCTAGTTATCGTTCCTATCAATGACATGATAAAAAAATTTAAACTAGCCAAACTTAACCTCATTCTCATGTTTCCAAGTAGGCTTAGATGCTTAGTAGCTTCCAACAGATATGAACAAGTACCTGGGACCACGGATCAAACCGAAGATGAAAACCATGATCTGGAAAGCTTATAACAATATCCAACTTTAAAGGTTCCTGCACATTCATGAGGTTGAAACAACAATTAAATAAGTCTGGCAGATGTCTCACAGAGACACATCGTTGAATTACAATCAGCCTACGCAGATGCTCCAATATAGAAATCCAGGAAATTCTAAAGAAACTATGGACAATTATTGTATGAGTATACGTGAACATAGATGACAAAAAATCATAAGAAGTCAAACAGCGTGTCACAAACCTCATCAAAATACTTCACATGGACAACATCATATATGTTTGGCTGCTGCTCTATCTGAGCAAATGCTTCACATATGGGCATCCCTGAACAACATTTGAAAAGCTATGCGTAATTAATAATAAACGTACAAGCATAGTAATCTATGGGTGCTCTTAGGATAGACATCTCATAAGCATGAATTTTCATGTTAGCTGAGCCATGGAGAACAATATGGCTTCCAGTCCCATTGATTAAGAGAATTTCAAATAGTCAACCTGTGGTTACAGAGGCATACGCGACTAGTAAAAAGCAAAACCCAGAAAATACTTCAAATGTTACCCATCTTCAGCAAGCCGTATAGGACAAATACAGAATGAATACGAGATATTATGTGATGTTCCTGAGTTCGCTTCAATCGAACGGATCAAATGATAAGAAATTTGGCTAAAAAAAAAAGGATAAGAAAATTTTAAAATCGACTCCTTCACTTTCCTCAAAGAGATCTCAGACAACAAACAAGAAACGATAAAAATTTGAAGCCAATTTAATTAGGCATATGAATGATTCGACAATAAATGGTAACCGCTCAATGAATATGGCAGCGATTTACCAAGTGAGAAGGGACCGATTCCAAGGCCAGGTCTAAGATCAAGAACGATAGCGCCCATGGCAGTGCCCTCGCAACGTCGTCTGGTTCTCTGCAACATAATCGCTAGAGGGGTTACTTGGGGATATTTCTCGGGAATGAAAATCTCCGTCCGTTGCTTTCGCCAATTTGATTGCACAGGAGTCATTTGTGCCCTTTAAAACAAAACGTAGCAAGATGATGCCTCCGCGACACGGGTCGTCAACCTCTGCTATTGGCGACCCTTTTTTCTTTTTTCTTTTTTTTTCCCTCTTTATTAATTATACGCTATTAAATTAAAGCAGATTGCATGAAGCCTTATGTTAAAGACAAGGTACTGAAAATAGACCGATCATTGAACCGGCCAAACTCAGGGGTCATGGGTTCAACTGGGGTCAAATCGAGTCAGACCGGTCATAATAAAATAATATAATTTAAATAAAAAATGTATTAATTCTCAATACGTTCATACATATCTAAGTCTTAATATCTCATATAACATATAATAATAATTCTAACAATAATAAAGTATAACAACACTTCTATATTTTTTTAAAATAAGGTTAACTAAATGATAAAAAAATTTCAATGAGTTAAAATAATAGAAATAAAAATTTATTTTAAAATAAAAGATAATAAATGAAAGTGATATATTTTAAAAATTATTTAATTAAATAATTCAAATTAAAAAATAATATAATATAATATATATTTATACTTTTTGATTTCTTTTTGCTTCTTTCATCCCCTTATCTGACATAAGTATATTTTTTTTTACCCTATGACTCCTATTGACCTATCATTAATCATTATCATGTCAAAAATAAATATACATCTTAGTTAATCATTATCAATTTTTTTTAAATTTCAACCCACCCAACCTGCCTGAACCGAGGGGTTGGGCGGGTTAATCCGGGTTAATCTCGGGTCACCCGGGTTAACTTAAAACAAAATAAAAAAAAACCGGACCGGACACATGGCCGGGTCACCGGTTCACCAGTCGAACCGGCCGGTCCGATTCGGTTTTAAAAATAATGGTTAAAGACTTGTTGATGCCTGCAAGGTCTCCTCGGACGATATTGAATTGAATTAAATATATTCATTTGATGTCAATTTATAACATATTTTTAGATAAAATAATAAAATTTTAATAGGTATATTTTATAATTTTTTAAAATATAAATATAAATTTTTACAAATATTTTTCTTTTGTCAGAAAAGAGATCATTTTATTAATTAATAAAAAATTACAATTATTAATAGTTGGAGAAAAAAAAACTCAAAAGAATCTACATACAAAGAAATACACAAAAACTCACCCAAAAAAAAAACACAAGTAAGGAAGTTTTAATTAAAAAGTTCTTTATTCCAATGATCCCTAAAAATAACAGGCTCAAAATTCCTAACAAAACTTAAATTAGCAAGCAATGATTTAAAAATCAGACCAAACTAAATAGTTGGATTGATTGGATCGTCCAACAAAGCTATTAATGGCTTGGTTTAGACTAAGAAATATCTTTATGATTAAGTTAGATTGGACCAAAGTTGAGCTACTATTGAGCTAGAAATCAGAGTTGAACTGAAAATCGAAACGATTTTTAAAAAACAGACGGTTTTGAATATAATATTAAAAAAGCTTAAAAATTTTAAAAAAATTCAAAAATTAGATTATAATGAAAGCCAACTTTATTTTTAAATAATTCATATGTATAAAATATGATTTGAGATTTTTTTTATGAAGATATTGACAATTATAGATGTAAATATAGATATTTTTGAATCTACTCATATCTAATTTAACTAATATCCACGTATATTTGATAAGTTATAAAATTATAATTCATAATATTATTAATTTATAGTCATTTTATTAACATACTATATATTTTTTCTTTTATTTTTATATATATATATATATTTAATATTATTTTATTTAATTATTATGTTACCGGTTCGGCAGTTGGATGTGCAAACCATGAACCGTTAGCCTTTTTAGTTCAATATTCGATTCGATTCTGAAAATATTATTAGCAAGTATGAGATCAAATGAAAAAGATGTAACTTTCAAAAGTCATCCAAATGAACACATCTTCTTAAAAATCCATTATTACTGACTCACAGTTTTGTTATTTTGACGAACCACCATGAAAAAAGAAACATATTTACATGATTTCCAATCCACTATAATATCCATGGCCAATCATAGTCAACAGAAGACTAGCCCATCAACATACAATATAAGACTTCACAGTCCATTTCTATAGTGACTTTCTTCCCAGCAAAACAAACATTCTAAAATAGCCATGCATTCAACCATCAAGAGAAGAATCATCAACAATTTCTTCTCCCAGCCACCCAAAAATTCTCCAAGAAAATCCCTACACACCAAAATAGTGCTAGCTTGATTCGGAGATTTTTTAAAAGACCCATCCCCGTTGATTCTGATTTTACTTTCAGCAAGGAATTCCCAAGAAATATTTCTGCTAATATGATTCAGTTCAGATTTCATAATAGGACTTTTGTTGACCTCCCCCAATTTTGGAAACTCATCAATAGTTCTTCTAGCCTTCAAAACTACCTTTGGTGCATCCACCTTCTCTCCATTAACCGCATAGTTGCAGCTATACTTGCACGTCCGAATTTCCTAATAAACAGATGCAATTAAAGCTTTGTTAAAAGAATCAATCATCTTATTTTCACAAAACATATTAGCAAACCAAATAGCAATAGTTGAAACATTAAAATTAGAACCAATGTTTTCAAAACCGGACCGGATATTGAACCAAAAAAGTCAGCGGTTTGCGGTTCGTATGGTTCAACCGGTTGGACCAATGGTTAGACCGGTGACGTAATAATTAAATTAAAAAAATTATATATGTATATAATAATCTAAATATAAGAAATACATATGAAATTGCTACTTAACTTAAAAAAAACTAAATTTTTTAAGTTTATCATGACTTAATAAACCACATGATACAACATAATATCAAATGATTAAAAAAATTAGTCTTTTTTTTAAATTTGATAAAAAAAGTTTTTTTAACAGTTTAGTTTTTGAAAACTGGATCCGGTTCCCGGTTCGACCGTCGGTTCAAAACAGCTCAACCCCTAAAATGATTTTCTCATATGAACCAAACCAAAATCCAGACTGGTCGACGGTCGGACCAATTCGACCATCCGATCTAATTCAGTTTTAAAAACACTGATTAGAACTCAAAAAACCCAAACTACAACCAAACAACATGCCCTAACAGAGGAACAAGAAAACAAAAGATGTTCACTTGATTCAACATTCACTAAACAAATAAGACAGCATGCCAAGTCAGAACATTTCCTCCAAAATAAAACCTCCTTAGTGGCAATAGTGTAATACTCTCAATTTTTAGACTAATTTATTTTGCCAAATAAGAATATTACCCCAAATCATTGGCTTTCCATGGGTGGTAATCCACTAGTGAACCTCTAGATATTCTGATTCCTAGATCACTAACTCTTAGAAACCTAGTACTCAAGACAATCCTTTATGTTATCAAATTCAAAGAAATCATCTTCATATTCAAAACATCTAACTCATGGTAGTGGTATTGGTACACATATATGGGCACCACTAAGCATGCTAAAAATTGTGTGGTTGGTTTTGCCTAAACATGCTAGAGAAGTGTTTTCAGACAATATAAAAATACTTGGCTTTTAAATCAAATGGTGAGTTCTTAGAGTCTTTTACTACAATATTCCCTAACGCAAGTGCTTAAAAATAAAGGAAATTGAGAGATAAAAAGGAAGAAAAAGACTTGCATTGTCTATATAATGACATGGCCTTTTTCCTAAATATGTCAAGCTTAAACTTGATTATATACCTATTTATTTAGCATGTTTAAACTTAACTTGAAAAAAGAATTTGATACTATCATAAATCTAGGTTTAGACTTTAGGTCTACCTTTCAAGTTCAAACCCACAAAGCTAAAGCTGGATTAATTTTCACCTTGTCAGGTTTCAGGGAGGTTTGATATTTGAAGATTATGAATAGTTATTTCTTCTTGAATCATTGTTGTTGTCATTTGGGAGATAGGAAATGAATTTACTTCCCCGGGTGGCACAATCAATTTTGAGAGAATTCGGGTGGGATTCACGACCTTTACTACATCTCAAGGATCTCGCATAAATTGATTGAGGGACAATCCTCAAAGATCTCCATGTTCGTTAACTCCTTCTAGTTAGAATAAATAATCTTGAATACGAAAGATCCTCAAAGATCCTTTGCTCTATGGAGAAGGGTTCAACTTTGCAGAGCTTTATTTTTAACAATTATCAATTAGGTTCACAAATGGAATAGTCTAAATTGGGTTCATTACAAATGGTGCTTATGTTAGTCCAAGAAGCTTTGATTTTCACTGCCAATGCTCAACAAATATAGAAACTCAGTGACAGTCATATATAGGGGTGTTCAATTTAAACTCATCTCGATTGGCTCGATATCATCCCGATCATATTAGGACGGGTCTTGTCCCGACCTGAAAATAATCGGGACGGGACTTTACGAGATGGGACAAAAAAGGGGTTCAGGATGGGACGAGATACGGAATTACCATTCAAACGTCTTGTCTTATCCTGCCCATCCCATCTCGAATATTATATATACATTATTTATTTTAAATATATTAATTATATTTATATAATTTATACTTATATTAACTATATCAATTATAATTTCAATACTTGCAATTCTTATTTAAAACTAAAGATTTTTTATATTGATAATTTTAATGACATTGAGTAAACATGGTGATATCTTCTTTATAATATATTAATTATATTAATATAATTTATTCTTATATCTATTTATTTAAGAACTTTTATTTATAACGTATTTCTTGCTTTATTTTTAGAAAAGTAATTAGCTTAATACATCTCCACCTCAGAAGCACCGATACGTGAAAATGTCCAGCGTGTCTGTGTCGAATATGTATCCAACACGGACATGTGTTCATGATGCAAAAACGCTGTATTCCTTTTCCCAGTTTCCAGCGCACGCGGGTTAGATGCAGGCAGACGCAAAACTCTACATTTTTCACTTCTTTTTACTCAGTCCCAACTCTAAAAAACCGGTGCCCTAAGATTTTCAACTCTAGTTGACCCCTTTCTCGCGTTTGCCTCTCTGTCGCTTACTGCCTTGTCGACCGTCGT